AATCTTGTCTTTTAGCGATCTCTTTTTATCTTTTTACTTATCATGTTTTTAAGATTAGAGTTACCAGCCCAAAAAAGTTTTTTTTTTAATCTCAAACTCATTTTGTTTAGTCAAATCACCTATAGTTCTCCTTTTTGCATTTTTTTTCAAGTTGGAATAGGATTTATGCATATTAAAAATTTTTTTAAGTAAACTTAAATCAGTTAACACAACAAAGCCAGCTTTAATCCAGGGTCTCTTGATTTTAGACAAAATACATTCACAACAATTATCTGAACATCTTAAAAATTTTTTTTTAAGAGGACAAGCAATAATATTCGATATTGGTGCAGGTTTACATTGTTGCTTATATATTAAATGTTGAAGAATATCCAAGTCTGTTGGAAGCTGTAAATCTAAACAGAAAGATTTAGACATTTTTAAATAAATATTTTAGAAATCAATAATTTAATAATTCCAGTATTAATAAAATATGTTTCTACCTGATATAGCTGGTTTTGCCTCTTTTATAATAAAAAGTTCCTTTTTCATTGACCTAAGCCGTGCTTCGCTCAATTTTAATATCTTTATTGTATTTACTTATCTAAAACTAATAAAAAATAAAAACTGATAAACTATCAGAAGTTGCACCAAAATATAAAAATATAACGAAAAAAAAAAAAAAAAAATCAAAAAATTACCAATTTTCACCATTTTCAGTACTAACAAAAATAGGGTTTTGAGGGATTGTAAAAAAACAATACACTTTTAAACAAAAATATAGGCCTATATATGTATAGTACAAAAAAAAAAAATTAAAAAAAAAAATTACCCCTTCCTCAAAATGGCCGAAAATAATCACATTTCGGTCATTTTTTCCCTAAATTATTGGCTTGAGGAGGGGTCAAGAGTGATCCGATAGCGCTCAAACTTTTTGAGGCTCATTTTTTATATATTTGCCCCAAATTTAGGGGGTATGGTTTTTTAGATTTAGAATTTTTTTTTTTTTTGACTACCCCTAATATATATATATATATATATATATATATATATATATATATATATATATATATATATATATATATATAAACGGTGCAAATCTTTTCAAAAGTCTTCTTTTTAGCGTGATTCTTTTCACTGTGCACATTTAATAAATATAACGGTTCTTTTAAATCTAGTCAATTTTACAATTTAATTACCAATATTCGGTAAGCTCTGTTAATTCTTATTAAAGGATGTATTATACTAATAATACTAATAAGTAAAATAAATAATAATTGCTTTTACAAATATAAAAAAATATTCAATTATTAGAAAAATATTATGGAGCCGTCTACATCGAATACAGAATTATCAGAAGCACCATCAACAATTCCTTCTCAGGATGTTACCATTTTCGGTATATCAACTGATTTATGTGACATTAATCTGCCAACTAATAGCAATGTTTTAAAATATTATTTTTTCTTGAGGGATAACTCTAAATTTCAAAATAAAAAATCTTCTTATAAAAGTTTTACTTCGCCTTTAGCAGACAAAATAATTGAAATATGGAATAAACTTAATATTGAAATTATAAATAGAAAAAGTGTTTTAAAAAAGTTGAATACCTTAATTGATAAATATCAAAAAGATTAAACGTAATTGGAAAAAAAAACTTAATTGGAAAATTTTAGAAATTCGTTGATTCATTAGAAAAATTTATTTTTTATTGGGAAATGTAGATGTGAATTAAAAATAACTGACTGCTCTTGTGGATTGATTCCTGTACAATTGAAAGAATTTATATTGGACCAACATAATGACAAAAAACTTACAATACTGCAATATACGCCATCATTGGTTGAATTTTCAGAGGAAATATTTTCAGAAATACCCACAATACCAAGTAGTAACGATCCAACATATGAACTTGAAACGTATGAAGTAATTGTTGGTGAAACAGTTGAAGAACCATCGTCGAAACGTGGTCGTTACACATCAAGATATGATGCATTGGAATTTGCCATGATATGCGATAGATTTGGCATTTCTGATAGAGTGGCTTCTGCTTTAGCAACAGCACTTTTCAAAGACCTCAATATAAGAGACACCGACGGTAATCTTATGATTATGGATAAGTCGAAAGTAGCTAGAGAAAAACAGAAATGTAGAGATATGGTGCTTCGTAAGCAAAATGTTGGTTCTTCTATATTATCATTTTCATTTGATGGGAGAAAAAATGACTCTTTCATACAACAACAAATTTCATCAAAATATAGTAAAAGAGCATCATTTAGTTGTTACAAAGGAGCCTAATGCCACATTACTTGGATATGTAAAGTTGAATGGTGATAATGCTGAAACTCAACAAAAAACTTTAAATGAATTTTTTGTTAATAAAGATATATCACTAGATTCATTAATTGGCATTTGTTGTGATGGCGAAGTTACTAATACTGAAACAGAAAATGGTGTTTTACGTCGATTTGAATTGCAATTAGGAAGACCATTGCATTGGTTTATGTCTACTACATTTTAATAAACTTCCGTTACGTCACTTATACGAAGCATTGGAGAAATCAGCCACATCTGGACCTTGCACATCAACTGGAGAATTAGCCCAAAAGATTGTAGAATGTCACAAATTGCAGGTAAGTAACAATTAATTTATTTTAATATCTGATGTTAACATTACATAAGATCTAAGTATTTCTATACAAATAAACACTATTCTATTCAGGTTGTAAGTGACTTTCAATCGATTCCATTGAAGAATCTGCCTCCGCTTTTGGAAGATTAACATCAAAAAGATTTATCTACAGACCTTCAATATTTATAAAAGATAGGTCAAGCAATTTCCAATGGCATCTGCCCAATGGATTTGGCTAATATTAAACCAGGTAAATATCACATGCCCGCTGGTTAACTAAGGCTAGCAGAATATTAAGATTATACGTGACAACTAACAATCCGTCAAAAAATTTAAAAATTCTAGCAGTTTATATAATGACTGTTTATATTCCAATGTATTTTAACATTAAATATTATAATTCTGTAGTATACGGTAGTCAACTTTTATCGCAATTTATTCAATGGACAAAATATTTATCCCTAAATTTACGTAATATTATAATTAAAGTTGTTGACAATAATTCATATTACGCACAACCAGAAAATGTGTTATTTGGTATGCTATTTGATACAAGAAAAGACAAAAAATTCTAAATTTTCGGGATAACTTAGACGATACTAGTAAAATTAGAAAATGAAAAAAACCGAAGATTAATTACGAGTGTACCGATTACACCAATATGATCGATTTGAATGATGATGTTTTATCTGAACCACCGTTTACACGCCACCTTCCCTATGATAACTTAAAAGACCTTTTACAATTTGATGATATGCCACTGATGGATCCTCGAATTCCATTGCATATTCAAGGAACAGAGAGATATGTTCAATTGCTAACTACTGTTTCGCAACGTGTCACTCACAAAAATCGAGAAAGGGTTATGGCGGTAACTGCAGAGAGCAGAAAAAGAACTCCTCGCTTGGAGAGCAAAATAGACTTCAAAAACAAATTACAGTTTCATACCCTTATTATTTATTACGGGATTGTTTTGAGTCTAAAAAATTGTTGTAAAAAAGGATTTTAAGTTTATTATTGATTTTTGAATGTCAAGAATTATTTGTGATTTTAGAATATATTTTGTGTTAGTGAATTATTTTATTTAAGTTCATTTATTTAAAATTTTTTTTACTTATTTATGAGTTTTTTTTTTGTTTTAAACGTTGTCAAAATGGCCGAAGCAGAATCTTTAAATTTTATTAAACAAATATCTTGAAAATTTGAAGAGATGGGTATAGAGAATAGTTATATGAAAAAACTTAATTTAATTCTCTTTTAGATGGCATTTTCATTTAGTGTGTGTTTCATTTAAAATAAGCGAGAAAAATAACTCTTTTAAAAATGCTTACGTTCATCCACATTGTAGAGGAAAATCAAAGTTTTAGTAAATGACTGTTCACTTAGTATCGCCACGCTTTTATGGAACACTCTGTATAAATGAAAATAATTTTAGAATATAGCTTTTAAAAATCCTCACTACTTTTATACAAAACAATTTTTCGTAAGTAGCACAGTTTAGCCGCTATCCTCTGCCGTGGTTGAATTGGGACACCCTGTACAAATACATTCTTTTATTAATTATATTTTTATTGCTGTTTTGAGTTTTATTTTCCAAGCTTTTTTTCCTAACAGATTTTTTGTTATCTAATGTATATATTAAATGTACTTGAAAGGTAGAATAAAATACAAAATAGAAAAAATATTGCGTTTTTTTATATTAAAAAATAATTGAACATAAATGGCTATATAGCGACCCCTAGCGGTGGTTTAAAAACAATATAAATGTTACAAACGAATTCCTCGAACCAAGAAACAGTTTGGTAGAACTCTTTATCAATATAAAAATCCGAATAAAACAAAATAAAGATAGAATTCTGCACTTTTAGAACGGTAATAATAGTATATTAAACGAGACTTTATTTTTGAAAATTGGGGGTATCAAAATTAAATTTGGTGGTGTGGTTTTTGTTTATATATATATATATATATATATATATATATATATATATATATATATATATATATATATATATATATATATATATATTATATATATATATATATATATATATATATATATATATATATATATATATATATATATATATGTATGTATAATTTAGCACATACCCATTTTATTCCCGATTATAATCGTACATTAAAAAGGAAACATAAATTACTCAGTTATAACTTTCATACTGTTGAATAAAAAAACCCTTTCAAAGGAAATTGTCATAAAAAAAAAAAAGCTATATCAAAATCTAGGTTGCAGGGTAAAGCATAAGTGGCGATGACATTTGTCTGAAAGGAAAAACTAGTTATAAATGCTGATCCTCATCAAAACGCCAGTAATAATAGACTCTTTATTTATAAAAATTACTTGTACTAGAAAAGTTTCAACACTTACAGGGGCATATTCTTTTGGCCAAGTCGGACTTTTGACCTTTGGATAAACTTTTACAAACCATTGAATACCTTCGCCTGATTGATGCTGACCATCTTGTTTACTAACTTCAAGCAGGTGTTTAGGTGTTTCAGTTGGGAACATCATCCATCTTTTATGACCAGATATTAATGCATTCCATGCACTTGTACCTAATGGATCAATATGAATACCAGTTCCAGACCTAGCTGGTCCAATAACAATCCATCTAAAGTAATTTATAATAGTTAATTACTATTAATAAATAATTAACTTACTTTTAACTTACTTAAATTAATAAAAATACTTAAATTACTAATAAAAATGTTTGTTTAAACTAATAAAAATTGTTACAATATTTATATTACTAATTTCATTAATGTTCATCACAAAACTTAGATTTTGAAAAACCTTTTATTGTTAATAAAAGAAAAAAAGTCACAAATTCCTTTGAACTATTAAAGAAGTCAAAACACAGAATCAATTAAGTCATAGGATGAAAAATGAACCACGTTATTTAACAGTAAAACATAAATATAAAATAAATAATTAATGAAAATATGAAATATATATATATATATATATATATATATATATATATATATATATATATATATATATATATATATATATATATATATATATATATATATATATATATATACTCTTGCATGTCTCTTGCGTGGCATCAAAAAATATTTCCCACAAACTGTAGTTTTAAAGAGCGCGTTAATAAACCAGACCAGAAAAAGTTTTAAAAATTAAATTTTTTTTTTTAATTGATAGACTGCCTGGCCAAACCAAACCCTCAGTCGATGTAGCAGCACTCTCTTGCGAGTCAGGCTATTTGTCAGTCGTTGTAGCAGCACTCCCTTGCGAGTCAGGCTATTTGTCAGTCGATGTAGCAGCATTCCCTTGCGAGTCAGGCTATTTGTCAGTCGATGTAGCAGCACTCCGTTGCGAGTCAGGCTATTTGTCAGTCGATTTAGCAGCACTCTGTTGCGAGTCAGGCTATTTGTCAGTCGATGTAGCAGCACTCCATTGCGAGTCAGGCTATAAGATAGTCGATGTAGCAACATTTACGCATGTTTTAAAAATGTTTTTTTATTAAATCAATAACAAAAACACCACTAATTAAAAAAACTTTCTAGTCGTTATAATTGCGGTTTTTTAAAAATTTTTTAAAAAACAATTAAATTTAATGTACTTCCGCATAAATTAATTGCTTTGACATTTCGATGACAATCAAAAACAGCTTAAGAGACGAGGTAATTAAAATTGTAGTCGTAAGAGACTTTTTTTACATTAAAACGCTCTTTCGACTACACTATAAGGGTATATATATATATATATATATATATATATATATATATATATATATATATATATATATATATATATATATATATATATATATATATATATATATGTATATATATATATAGAAAAGTTAAAAAAATATTTATGAAAAAAGTTTTTTATAACTTCTAAACATCTGTCTGTTGCAATAATAATCATTGTTGCTATGTAGACTTAGGAAAATTAAGTTACCACACTGTTAACTGTTTCTTCCTGTTTTTATTTAACTTTACTAATGGTGTTGACAATCAAATTTAAACTTGATTTTTAAAAAAATACAATAAACAAAAAGTTTCAGATGTGTAAATATCAAATGTCAAAAATTAAATATGTTAAAAAAAGTTAAATTTTACTTTTGATAATCAAATCAATCTGTATCATCCAACCTGCATCGTTCTTCATCAACCTGCATCCTTTATTATCCAAACTGCACCCTTGCAGGTTAGATAAAAAATATTTTCATTAAAAATTAAAAAATTCTCAACCTTTTTAAAGATGCAACCCCTTAATAACATTTAGGAATAATAAGAAAAATGAGGCCGGCAATCTATTGCTGACCTTGCACTGTTAGAGGTTGGCATCAGGTTGGTAAAAAGAATTTGATACAAAGGAGTTACCATAGAACATAGAAAACAGGTCAGCAATTTTTTGTCGACTTCGAACACTTTAAGATTGGCAGTTAGGTCAGCATTGCTGAATGCCGACCCTAATTCTGTGGGCTGCCCAGTTGTGGCAACCTTAACAATAAAATTAATAAGGCTGCTCCTAAATCACTGCTTTTTTGAAGCTAATTATTGTTTTTTTTACTTCTAAACTTCTGATTTTATAGTTTATAACCATATTTTTTTTAAACAATTTTTTTATAAATTGATTTATAATACTTTATCAACAAAACAAATATTTGTTTTGGTTAATATTTGCAACGAAAAATTATATATTTTGGTTAATATTTACAAAGGAATAAAATATTTACATTGTAAACATTTTATAAAACCCAACTTTAAAATTTCAAATGTATGTAACTTTTAAATGTATAATATAGGTTGCACAATGCACACTTAAAATTTCATAAACTTTACAATAATTTAAGTGTGTATTTTTTAATGTGCATCACACAATCAAGAGTCGCACACAATCAAGAATACAATCGTTGATTATCATCATCATTATCATCATACAATCAAAGTTATTAACTTTAAAGTTGAGGCTTTCATGAATTTGAAAAAAAAAATAAAGCTGAAGAAATCAGAAAATTGATAAAGAAAAAATTAAATTGATAAAATAATTAAAACAAAGAAAATGAGTTGTAAAACCCAAAAAGCATCAGTAAGAAATCTGCACTGGCTTCTTTCTAGCCAAATCAGAAATACATAGAGCGGTTTTTGCAAAATCACAATGCAGATTATCTTTGGCAACAAGTCTACTTCTGTATTTAGATTTGATAACAAACAAGCTTGTAAAGCCTGTTTCACATGTTTTCATTGTTTCGTGTTTAATGTCATTTTCCTCGAAGAAAGCAGATAAGTTTGATAGTGTGTAAAACTTATTTTCATCTAATTTTTTTTTACCAAAGTTGAAGTTTCAACTGGAATGCTTGGATCAAAACAATACTTTTCTGACAAATCTAGGCATGTTGCATTAAAAGAGGTTTTAAACTTAACTTTTTGACACGGAAAAACCCTTTGGTCGGATGATAACCCACCAACTTATAGTATATTAAAAGAGTATTACTTAGCATAGATAAGTATTTGACTTTATGAAAATCCTGGAAATTTTTTTTTATGAAAATCCCGGAAAATTATTTTATTAAAAATTGATCGTATTAACTGAAAACAAAAACTTTCATAACTTTTAAAACGGAATATAGATTATTTAACTTTTTACAAAAAGGAATTTCTAATATTCGAAAAAGTTAATTTGAATAAATTAAAAAGCAAAAAAAAAAATAAAAAAAATTGTTACGAAAAATTTGATCTCGTAAAAATTTTAACTATAGAAAACATATTTGTTTAAATTCAAAAGTTGTTGTTTTTAAAATTTGATGTAAAAATCAATAATTTTTTTAAAACTAATTGATAAAAAAAAAACATCCGGAAATTTCTGGAAAATTAAAGGAGTTTTAAGTAAATTTCTGGAATTCCGGGAATTCCCGGAAAAAACTCATCTATGTACTTAGATATAAGTACCGAAATCAGATTACAACGTCCGGGCATGTTATTTACATTTGAACTTTCATTTCAGTAAACAAAAAACATGTTTTAAATGTTTAATAAACACAATACATATTAAAACAAATTATAGACATATTAAACACGCCTTGTGTTTACTGTGATACTTTATTGATTGCACAAACATGCAAAATGACAGCTTTGCAATTCTACAGCCCTAAATTATTTTAGAAAAACTGTATAAAAAAATTTTTTTTTAATTGATATGAAACATTTAATTATGACATAAATTAATTCTGGGAAAATGCAAATGAGAGAACGTAGAGAGGACATCGCACTCCCATCATTGTATAAGTTTGAGACTATGAAACTTCAACCAGAAACTCAAGACTCTCACCTTGAATACTTGATCTGTGCAAAAGGAAACCTAAGAAACAATGGTCAAGTAAAAATTGAATTTGCACAAAGTTCAGCAGCTAGAACACCTACTTCAACAGTAGAAAAAAAAATGCTCATTTTTCAATTATTGGTAGTGGATTGTCTCACAACTCAAGTGTACATTCTTGTACCTAGTGTGAATCTGGTTCAAAGGAACTTGTAAATCAAAGGAAATTGAGGATCTTTATAATATCAGAAAAGCTCGTGACTACAAAAATGTTGTTTATTCTCCAATACATAAACTACCTAAAGACACTTTGGTTTTGAAGTTCCTTCCTCCCATGGAATTGCATCTCCTAATTGGTGTTTTTAATCATCTTTTTGCTGCACTACTTCAACAACAGTGCAAAGAGTTACTTGAGGAAAAACTTAAAGCAACTCTTTTGGCTTATGCATTACACATAAAAAAACAAGCCATGGTGTACATTTTGCAGAGGATTAATCAGGAAAGCTCCTATGCAATATTGATTTATTCAATTAATTGTTTTCATCCCATTCATTTATACTTTTTGAAAATTCAATATCTGGCTGTTTTAGATGCAACCTTAATCTAAACTAATAATTGAACTACAACTAATAATAAATCTCACAAATAATTGAAGCATTCAGAATGTCTTATCTGGCATTGCAAAATGTTTCTGTAGCAACCAAGATCCATGCAGTATTTTTCCATGTAAAAGATTTCATCCACAGACATGGCCAAGCTCTTGTGCTTTACTCAGGCAACAGAAGTAATGCATCACAACTTTGTGATAGATTGGCAAAGGTGCAAAAGGCCCAACCATCATCCAGAATATAGTAATAAGTGAAAAGTCATTTTATTTATGACTTTTCACTTATTATGATTTAAGAATGAATTACTTTAGAATTTATTCTATGTAAAAGAATAAATTCTAAAGTAATTCATTTTTTTGTGAATAGGAAAATATTTTGAAACAGTAATTGGAACTTGTATAATTTAGACACTTAAAGCAAAATTAAATTTAGATATAAGTAAAAATTTTAAAAACCACAAAAACGTCTGTTCATTGGTTGCAAGAATTAAAATAATTATTCTTATTTAAATTAATATAAAATAATTAAATTATATAGGCTCCTGACATCTTTCAAATGAATCAGTATTGAATATAGGTACAGTAATGTAACAGTATTGTTACAGTATTGTATGTTGCTTTGGCAACTGTAGTCAGAGTAGAAGTATGGCTTAAACTTAAGATGATAGAAAAAAACTACTGACAGAAGTAAACAAATTATTTTCAGAAGGTCTAAATGGTGACCCCAGGCAAATTGTCAGACAACTCCCACTGGGGTTGCAACCTACAGTTTGGAAACCGGTGATCTAGGTATTTTGTTTTAAATAAAAACTACACTTTTCTAGTTTTATTCTTTTTTATATTTCATAATAAAAATCTAAACTTTTTTTAAAAATTTTTTTTTAAATTTTTATCCAATACAAAATACTTACATTATATAAGGTTAATTTAGTTATAAAAAAATTAATTTTAATGCTCATAAAAATTTTTCATAAAAAATACTAGAGCAAGAATAAGCTTATAATTGCCAAAAGAATAAGAAAAATTGCCAATAAACGATCAGAAAAGATCATAAGATTAAACTATGATGTTTATTTTACCTGAACAACATATTTATTTAAATTTTTATTTAAATTTGGACAAGCGATTTTTAAAAAAAGATTTTTCGCTCTGGGTTTTTTTCCTACAAACATTTATATTGTATTATACAGCAAAATTTCAAATTTAATTTTTTTCATCTATTCATAATTCACAGACCTGATCATTTAAATATGTCAACAAAATATCATACAGACACTATGATATTTTAAAACTGCCTTAACTACACTGAGTAGGTATAAAATAATATATTATTATTATATAACAGATTGCATATGTTTTAGCAAAAACAGTAATACCTGTATGGCGGCCTTCTCTTTTCACCCGCATATTTAAAGAGATCATCTTGAAAGAAGGAAGGAGGATGATAATCATCAAGGAGTTTTCGTTTCTTTGGATGCTTAATTGAATTAAAGTAACTTCAAAAATTTATCATATACACATATGTACAACCATCGGAATTAAAAAAAAAATTATATCAGCATTTTATTGCCAACCTTAAACAAATTTTGGTCAGCTACAGGTTGACATTTTTAACACAAAAATTTCACAATAACATAAAAACAAGGTTGGCCAAAAACTGCTGACTTCAGACAGTATTAGCTCTTAGAAGTAAATATGGTGCTTGGTCTGTACAGGTTTTAAATATGTGTGTGTGTGTATATATATATAAATATATATACATATATATATATATATATATATATATATATATATATATATATATATATATATATATATATATATACATATATATATTTATATATATATATATATATATATATATATATATATATATATATATCAGGCTTTCCCAGGAAAGGCGTGCGATTGCACGCCTTGTTTGTCCACACATAGAATAAATTTTTCAGAAAACGTGACCGCGGCAATATTTAGCGGGAAAGCGGAACTTATCCACAAAGAATAAAAAACAATACTAAAAAAAGGAAACAAAATCTTAACAAAGTATAAAATTAAAATTGGATGTAAGAAAAATATTTTAATAATAAAAAAAAAAATTAACAAAAAAAAAATTCTTGTAACAAAAAAAAAAAAAAAAAGTCTTTTTATATTGTTTTTGTTTTCTTTTTTTAAGGTTGCTATTTTCAGCTACGAAATTTAATACAAGTCAAGGAAAAGACGACTTAAAGTCATAAAAATTTCATGAAAATAAAAAGACTTAATACGTAATTTATTCAGGAACCTCATCAGACAATATAATAAAAACTGATTCATTATTTACACTAGACAAATTTGGTTAAACTTTTTCATTTAATTTAGTTTTTACAAAGGTTTATGCAAATGCGATGACGTTATTCCCCAATACTTAGACAATAAAATAAATTGCTGTTTATTATTAAATATATTATTTGTGATTTTAAACTTAACAAGATTTTAATTTGCAAAAAAGTTCTCTCTCGATTTATTCTAACCTGATTATACTGAGTCAATGCTCACCTTTTATTACGTTGAAATTATTAAATTGCATAATTTTGTAATTACGAAAGAAGTTAAAAAAATAATTGCATTGCTTCTGTAGTCATTGTTACGAAAACAGTTCCCTCGGGACATTTATTTTTAACACTCGTTCACAATGCCAATTAATAATTGCAAAAAAAGCAACTCAATCGTTTGACAATAAAATTTTCTTTCATTTGAAAAAAAAACAAACATATTATACAAATAAATAGCAATCATTTTTGCGCTTTCTTACATATCAATATATTTAAACATTTAAATGTATTTACAAAACATTTAAAAACATAAATTTAAAAATTGTTTATAGTTCTGGTGTGAATTTAAAAGTATTACTGACTGATTAAAGTCATAAACAAACTTTACATTAAAAGGTCCTTTTATTTTCATTAAATTTATATAAACAATAATCATTTTCTTTTTCCTTGATTTGTTTTGATTTAATTTTTCATAGCTGAAATAAATACCACCCTAAAAAACAAGAAAAAATAAATAAATGAAATATAGGTAAATCTTTGTTTTATTAATATTCATTATTTGTATAACCTTTTCTTTCACTTAACATGAACTCTTCCTCAACTTTCTTTGTTGTCCAAGGGACACATAAAAAGTAACCTTTTATATAGAAATGTGCGTCTAAACTGCTTACGAGTTTTTATTTATAAGTAGAAGTAGGTATAACAAATCTTTTTATGTTTAAAATAGGCTGATATTGCTTGTGGGTTCGTTTTTCTTTTTTTTTTTTTTAATTTTTCTGTTAATTAAAATTGAGTTGATAATGCTGCCAGGCGTTAACTTTTTGCCGAAAGGCCAACTTTTTAGGGAGGCGGAAGCTGTAAGCGGCAGCCTCTCGTTCAATTTTTAGCCGCAAAATGTTCTTTCTTCCGCCTCCAGTAGCTTCTGCTCTTCTATTAGTGGCCGCAGCCAGAGTTATTTTTTGGAGGCAAAATATTTTGGAGGCCAACGCCATTAGGGAGGCGGAAGCCATTGGTTGCCGCCCCCCAAAAAAATGTGGAAACAGAATCATTTGGAGGCCGCTTCTAATGACTTCTGTCTCCTAACTGACTGCGGTCGCCAAACTGGAGGCGGGAATGTTTGCCTCCCGCCAGTGGATGTAATGAAAAATAACTGCTCGATTGCTTTAATGCAAATAAATATTAACTAGAAACAAATGTTAAATATTTGACATCAACTTTCATTTTATATGATTATGAGCAGTATTTAAAAAAGTTCTAATTTGAAAAAAAAAAAAAAAAGTTAAAAGTTGGAAATTTTACTTCTATGCCATTGGCGAATAAATCTTTTTGACTGGAAAAAAAAAAAAAAAAAACTGATTTTGGTAAAAGTTGTTTAGAACAAGTCGACATGCTAAAATTACGTTAAATACTTATTTTTAATTATTGAATATTGTAAAAGTTATTGAAAAAATAACTGCGAATGTTTATAAAAAGTTTGAGACTACGTTGTATTATGCTAATAGTTTTGCCAAATTACAACCCAAAAAAATAAACTTTAAATATAAATACTTTTATAAATATTATGTATATTTTACTCTATAATTATAAAACGTTTAAAAATATAGACTTATCTACTTTTACACGTTTTAAAGTTAAGCGATTAAAAGTTTCAATCGTTTAAAAGTTAAAAATTTATTCGATAGTCCTAGAAAAACAACGGCTCTGACAAAATAATAATTTTTTTTTTCAAATTTTTTTTTAAATAGTTAATAAATCATACAAAACAAAACTTTGTGTCAAATGTTTAACATTTGTTCTCAGTTAATAATTTAGTTGCTCGTTAACTTAAAGGCAAATGTGCAAATTTTCATTACTCCGCTGCCGGGAGGCAAATATTTCTGCCTCCAATTTATTGGCCGCAGCCAGCTGGGAGGCAAAAGCTATAGGAGGCGGCCTCCAAGTGGTTTTGCCTCTAAAATTTCTACTGGAGGCAGCCACCATTGGCTTCCGCCTCTCTCTATTGGCATTTGCCTGAAAAACATTTTGCCTCCAAAACAAAATCTGACTGTGGCCGTCAATAGAAAGGCGGATGATGCCATTGGAGGCAGAACATAAAAAATTTTGCTGCTTAAAAATTAATTGGGAGGAAGCCGCCTTCTGCTGCGGAAGAAAAGTATAAATACTTTTCATTTTTAAAATTTGCTAAAATTGGTTGTGGGTTTGTATTTTTTTTTTTTTTTAATCTTTTAAAAATACTTTTATTGACAAAAAAAATTTTGTTTTATACTAATATATCGTAACTCTTTGTAAAGACTAAAAAGTAGAAAATAAAATATAGCAAAAACATTTTCTAAAAAATATAATCTTTTTTGTACTAAAAAGTAGAAAATAAACTTTTTAATTTAAATTTAATAGTTCAGTAAACTAAAGATTGACAGGTATGTTTTTTTATAAATCTTGCGCATTCCTTTCAATCTTTAGTTTACGGAACTATTAAATTTAAATTAAAAAGTTTATTTTCTACTTTTTAGTACAAAAAGATTATATTTTTAGCAAATGTTTTTGCTATATTTTATTTTAATTTTAAAGCACAAACAGATTTCTGTTATTTACTTTAGCATTGCTTGTATTTTTACGGTATTTTCGTTTAGCTTTGTTTTGGCGTGAATTCTTGAAACGCATAATAATAAAACGTGGTCAGTTAGTCAGAAAAATTTATTCGATGCGTGGACAAATTAGGTGTGCAACCGCACGCCTTTCCTGGGAAGGTCTGATATATATATATATATATATATATATATATATATATATATATATATATATATATATATACATATATATATATATATATATATATATATATATATATATATATATATATATATATATATATATATATATATATATATATATATATATATATATATATATAGTAAATATTATGCTTGGTTTGTACAGGTTTTGAAATAATTCTTGGTGGGTGTATCTAGAGTAGGTTGTAATGAGAAAAATAACAAGCAAATTGTATAAAATTGTAGCAAATTCAGTTTTACTTACATGTAGTGACTTGAATTACTCAAAAATAAAAAATATATACAAATATATACACACACATATATTTACAGCCTGGAAAATAACAGCCAGTTAACAGTCAACAACTGCTCAAAATGACTAAAATTGCTATTTTGACCTCACAAAATAAAAAATAAATTCTTGCTGGTCATGGTTGCTGGTCATGGTTGCTGGTCATGGTTGACCTGTGAAATAAAAAATCAGAGTTTTAAAAAAACTTTTGACAAATAATCAGGATGTAATTTAGAAAATGCACATACTAAAATTTCATAAAATTATTTAAATTTTAAAAACGTTTTTTAAATAGTTGCATTTGCGATATATTTTTTTATTTTCTATTTATGCTACTTTAATTTGCTTCGTTGACAAATATTATATATGATGTTAACTCGATTAATTTTTTTGTTACATCTATTTAGATTACCTTCATTTTAATGGTGGTAAAAATCCTCTTTTCATAAATGATTGAAATATTTATTTTATTGTTATTTCAATAAAAATATTTAATAAAAATTATTTTAATAATATAATAATATATAACAACTGGTGTATTTAAATAAAAACATTTCTTTCAACTGTACTTAGTCACTTGATTTTTCTTATTTTTTTTTTAATCTTATTTATTTTCTCGTAAGTTTTTGCCGCAAAATGCAATAAATGAATGGATGATTTATAGATTTAAAATTACAAATTGGGCATTTGCCCTTTTTTTTCCCTATGAAAAGATTCTTAAAAAATATATTGATATTTTATTAAAAATCTGATTTTATGTAATGTTAATAATTTTTAAAAATGAACATGCTAATATTTATATAGGTATCTCAGAAGAAGAGTGGAAAAAAAAGATGGTCAAACCATAAACCAGTCAAAAAACCAAAACTTCCCTAATTCTACT